AGGTCATTTTGTAGCTGTGGCAGAGCTTATCTTGTTCCTCTGTGCGCACTAGGGTAGATACCGGTCCTGTTGATGGCTTAAGGACCTTCTACGGCCCTGTCCCGCTCTACTAGAGTAACTGTCTGTCTCCTGGAATCTCTTCCATGCTCTTGAGACTGTCCTGGTCCAGGTGTTACCTCCTATCACCAGCAGTGACACAGATCCTACTGCCAGCAACCTCCACCTGTAAAACCATTCGTGTTATGGGGGTTGTCTTATTGTTCTCACTGTAGTGCACCTGTTGTTAATTTCATTAACACCAAAGCATCTGAAACTGTTTAAAAAAAACCCTCTGATACTAAACTGACCTGATCAATATCCCAGACGTTTAATCGACTTGATGCTGCACTCTGATTAAAAAGAGTTCCAGTTAATGTTTCATATTACATCTTCTCTATAGATATAGTTTTTCAGATTTTTCATTTATGATTAAAAGTCCACTATCCAAATAAGTGATAGGCAATCATTTACTCAAGAGTCCACATGATAACCTTGGGCCTGTTCAGTACTAATGTTGTCTCTGAAAGCTTATCTCTCCACAACAGTCACAGTTTATCATGCTGTCCAGAATTAATTGGTTAAACCTAAAAATAAATATATTAGAAGCAGGAGACAATGAGCTATTTTAATTACAATATTTAGAATCAGCATATATGAAGTATTAGATCCCTGATTTGTTTCCTGGAGGAGACACAAACCCAACCTCAGCAGGTCACAAGCATGTGTACTCGTACTCAGGGTCTCAGCCCTCCTGAGAAATGGGAGGTTCCCATCAAGTCATTTGGTAGCAAATCAAACACGCAGATGTAATAAGGGAGGAAGGCACCTTACCAGATTTAGCACATAGAACACCAGAAATATTCCATTTTATTTCTGAAGCAGACAATGAGCTGAAGATTTGTTGGCCAGTGTGAGTCGCAAAACGCATCGAAACTCATAGTTTGTGGTTTTAGGTCCTGTCGTGGCCTGCAGCTTCTGAAGAAGTCCCGCTGACCAAAGCCAACCAAACTGGAAAAGAGATGAAAGGCAGGAGGGAGAAAGAAGTGAGTGTATCATGTAATACCATTGAACTGTAGGTACAGCCATCACCTAACTCATCGACTGCAGACACAATAATGAACTTATTTTCAGGGAAATCTTGCACTGTTGTGGAACGTGGAAGAAACTTGGTGATGTGGACAGATACTCTGATTTTTACGTCTGGGTTCAGTGTCGGAAGCTATGCTTTATTGCATACTGTATATTCCTTTCAACACTGATGGTGCCTTTACTTCAGAGATGCAAGCTTTTGACGAGTGTCAGGGGTGATTTGTGTAACACTAGGCGAAAGCATATAAAGGTTCAAAAGTTCAAAATGGACCAAAAAGTGACCCTTGTGGAATCCCAAGAGTTGTTTCTGTTTGGTGCTTATCATAAATACTGAGAGATTAAAGGTATGCACATTTTTTCAGTTACGGTGGAGTGGGTGGAGACAAGTGTCAGGGGAATAGCAGTAAATCTAAAAAAACAACAAGTTCATGTTTATATGTGGCACCTTCTTTTTTGCATAACAGACCTTTAACATGCATGTGATGGCACAGGGAACTGTGATCTCAGATGAATATTTCTGGAGGTGTTCCTGAGTCCATGCAGCGATTTCTGTGACATGTTTTTAATGCAGCGCTGCCTGACGATCCAACGAGCTCTTGTGTACAGAGATTCCTCCAGATTATCTGAATCTGTTGATTTGATTATTCTGAAATCATTTATAGATGCAGTTTTTTGCAGGTTGGTGAACCTCTGCCCATTTAAGTTCTGTGTAACTTTCCCTCTATAAGATTAAATCCAATCATGTTACTGACCAGTTGCCAGTAAACCTAGTTGTAATGGTCACTTTCTTTTTCAGGTTTTTGTTGCCAATAAAAATATTAACTCACTCACTTTAAACACTTTCTGTGTCCTGTGGTGGATAAAATGTGGGTTTATGCATTCTGGTTTTATTTTATTTATTGATTTATGTTTATTTTTTTAGAAATGGGGTTGTAATCAACAGAAACATAATAACCGCAGGGAAAGCCTCGATGGGACTGTATATAAACAGAAAGTTATTTAATGTCACTGGTCTCTTCTTTATAGTCTAAAGACAAAAATAAAAAATCTGTAGCTGAGCTGGTCCAAGATGCCCCGATCAGACGAATCCTTGGCTCCGTGCACATCCCCCTGCAAAGCCTGGTCAGAGGAGGCCAGCAGGTTAAAGTCCTCTGTGACTTTGGCGAGCTGCACACAGACTCTGAGGTGGAAGCAACACAAACACATCAAAAGGCAAGTTTGCACATATGAGTTTATGTTTTGCTGAGATATTATTCCTGTTTTCTGGATGAGTTACATGGGACAAAGGTTAAAATAGGAAAATCCATCCAAAAGAGTAGCATTGTAGGAAAGGACACAAAAAACAAATTGACATGTCTGGGCTATTTTTTTCGTACATCTTTAGGATTTGGGAAGGAAAAACAAAGAGGACAACAAGAAGGAGGACAAGGAAACAAAAGGGAGACAGCACAATGCAGCATCGTCAAAAGGTTAGCGAGAAGACTGCTTCATGACAAAAATGGCTTTGACATACATAAGACAGGATAAAAGCACCAGACCACTTTGAGAGTCAGAGCTGCTGTGGTCTGTGTCTAGGAGAGGATATTAAGAAAGAAGGCAAAGAATGAAATTGCGTCATTAGTCAGTGAGCTTTTCTTTTTCCGTCTCTGTAATCCTGCGTGATGTCGGCAGATAAAGAGAAGAAGTCACTTGTGGTGCACGACTCAATAACCAGCCAACAGGAACCAGTGATTGTGGAGCTGATTGTGGAGCTGAAGAAATGGCAGACTGCATCTGAAGCTCACCACTTCCTCCTGCCACAAACCTCCTAAGGCAGACTGCTCTCCCCGTGGTCCATTTGTCCTTCCTTCCTCATGACTGTTAACTGTGACCGTATCGTTGAGATAACTGCATAATAAATTTCTTGCCTTTGCAAAGTCCGTACTTAGGGCTAATTCAGAACCTCAAATTAAATATCATACCCAACTTTGTGTTCATGTGACATGGAAAAACCGTCCAGACTGACAGATTCCATTTAACTACATGGAAGCTATTTTTTGAACGTAAATCCACTCAGTGAATCACCATCTTGTGGTGGTGGAGGGGTTTGTGTGTCTCAGTGAGCCCAGGGGCTATGTTGCTGAGGGGTTTTGGCCTTAAAGCAAATTAGTCCTGTATGAAGGGCCAGACAAAGAGTGATTCAGAGGACCCCTGTAGAAGTAAAGAAATCAAGAGAGTGAATTACTGTGCCCAAGATGGGGTTACCAGGGCCCCTGCCCTGGAGCCAGTCCTGAGGAGGGTGGTCAAGTGAGAGCGCCCTGGGCCCGTTGGACCCAGCCACTCCAGTATGGGGGGTTCAGTGATGGAGAATGTCGGCACTGAACCCCGTTAGAGCCTGACTTTTTATATTTTTTCAAGTGACAAAAAGCAGTTGTGGTAACTTTATTAAATTATTAAAGTGATTATCAAAGCTTAGATCACTGTCGAAAAATAATGCCAAGCTTCCTAACTTGTTCACTGTGTTTCAGAGAAAGGATGATAAATTATTTTATGTCTTTGACTTTTTGGAGTAACAACAAATATTTCCATCTTATCTGTTTTCACTTCTGAAAAGTTTCTAGAAAATTAATCAAGAATCTGACCCGTTAAACAAGTTAAATTGTGATCCTTGAAATGTCTCTGTGAAAGAATCATAATACATCACTGTTGACCTTCAGGTCATCAGTGACTTCAGTAAGAGCCGTTTCTGTGCTGTGGTTGGTTCTGATTGGTACTTATCAGAAATACTGACATTAAAAGTATGAATATTTTTTTTCAATTATGGTTGAAGTGGGCGGAGACGAGTGTCAGGGGTGAGTCCTGACAGAAGAATAGCAGCAACAGTGAAAAGGACTGTTTATAAGATGGCAGTGAGACCTGCTGTGATCTATGGTTTGGACATGACAGCCCTGACAAAATGGAATGAGACCAGGATGGACACATTAGGCTGAGTGGTTTGGAGACAAAATTAGAGGCAATGCTGAGTTGGTTTGGACATGTGCAGGTGGAAGATTAGTGGTTACAATGGACAAAGGATGCTGAAGGTGGAACCGTCGGGCCAGAGGAAAGGAGGAAGACTACAGTAGAGGTTCATGGATGTAATGAAGGAGGACATGCAGGAGGTTGGTGTGACAGAGGAGTATATCACAGATCATAGCGCTTATAAATGAGTCTTACAGCAAATATGAAGTCCTTATTAAAGGGGATTGATAATATAACCAGGTGTTAAAATATATTAAATAAAATAAGCCCGCCAGGCAAGTGCTCCAGATTTGGCTTCTGGAGTTTTCTAAGTGTGCCTCTATGAACACGTTTGCAGTCCATTAAACAATTCCCCCGTGGTTTAGTACTCTGGTATTGAAATGTATAAAATAAAGGTTTGCATATTTAGTGTACTGTTTTCACTGTATAGTGCACCAAGGCAGAAGGATTCAGGCGTGACACACAGATATTATTATGAAGGAATTGTGCACAAAGATGCTTCATTTACCCATAAATGTTTTATTTATTTTTTAATACACCAATATTGAAAACATGTTGCGAGAAATGCCAAAGTGTTTCACCGTTTCATACAGAAATGATCTTCTAAGAAACTTTTTTTGGAAAGGCCATTACAGGAACTGAGGACTCATAAGCATCAAGTCCATTATTTAACAGTTTCTTTTATTCTTATCAATCTTCCTGCAGTCCTTTTCAAAGTCCATAAAAAAAGTTTCCTATTAAAGCCAAACAGCATTGCTTTTTGCTCCAACTCCATATCAGAGCAAGGAAACCTCTCCCTGTTACAAATTTACACTCATACTATCAAATCTTTAAGTACATAGCATTTCCAGGCATAAAAAATAAACTATAGCTCCCAGACTTTGCGCAAACTGACATTTGTTTTTCAATCAAGTCATTTACAGCTTCAAATAAACAACTTTTATGATATTATATTATCTCTGTAACCCCCTTACAAGCTGTGCAAACGGTGTTAACATACTGATAAATTAAATGATTTGAAGAAGACTGCTGCTTCTCCCAGAATGATACATCCACTTACATTAGCCCCTCACTCACACAAACCCAAGATATCAAACATTTTCTTTCCTTCAAACTCATTTACAATTGCAAATGAAACTGTTATTTCATGTGTAGCAGTTTATTTGAATGAATGGAGAGATTCTGCCAAACCTTTCTCCTCTAAGAGCGCTTAAGGGGTGGTGTGGACAACAAAGATGCTTGGGAAAAAAAAACAAGCACACAAAATGCATACACACACGCACAATTAGGACCCCAGAAGCACAGCGTAATCCAAAATGGTGTGCAAATATAGTAATTGTGCGAACGAGGGTTTAAAAAAAACAAAAAAACAAAGCAAAAAGGCTTTAAAAGGTCTGGTCATCGTTACAGGAGTCAGTCCAGTGCCCAAAGACCTCACAGATGTCGCAGTAGGGCCGCTCCTCACCCTTATTGCCATGGTAGGTGGTGTGTGGAGGGGAGTCTGGCATCTGCGTTTGCGTAGGACAGTCCTCAGTGTCGTGGAGGTCAAAGCAGTCACAGATGTCGCAGAAGAGCCTCGGAGGAGGTTTCTTCTTTGCAGGCTGCTTGTCGTGGCTGTGGAGCAGGAGAAAAAGTAGAAGAAGAAGGATAAAATGACAAAGAAGCAAAAGAAGGAAGAAAAAAGAGGAGAAAAAGGTGTAGAAAAAAGGAGAAGACAAGAAGAAAGAAGCAAAAGGAGGAACAAAAGGAGAAAATCATGAACAAAAACAATGGAGAAGCAGCAGAAGAAAAGGAGGAAAGGAGAAGGAGAAATTGTTCAGAGTCATTGTCACGCAGCGAACATCATTTTAAACACCTGAGAAGCTTTTTTGTGAATGGGACTTACCCGTCATAGTTATCCAGCTCGCTTGGATTATTTCCATTAAGGGCAGCAGCTGCCATTTTTTCCAGTTTGTCCTTGAGCTCCTGATTCTTCTTCTGGAGGTCCACAATGACTGAATTCAGGAAATCAATCTGTAAAGGAAACCCACAACATTAGCATCAAGGCTGCCCCTGGAGAACAATGAGCACAACATTTTCTAACATATTAATAATTTTAAACAGCTAATGGGGGTTAGAATTATTGTACTATGTTCAAAGGCTTTGATTGCTACAACAATGTGGACAGTAACTATGGTGATGTTACGACAACAGTAACTACGTGTCACTAAATATTCCCAAAAATCAAATCCCCCTTATAAAACAAACAAACCAAAAAAACAGAAAGAAAAAAAAAGGTGCTGAGTGGCTACTGCGAGTCATCAAAGAAGAATCAAAGCTTGAAATGAGCCACAAAGAAAGCTCGCTTATGATGACTGCCAATTAAAACCTCTGTGAATTTTAGCGCTCACTGAACGCTTAAATCAAGCTCGATTCATCTTTGGAGGACATTTGTAGTTTTCACACCAAATAATGTGACTCGACCACATGAAACATAAGAGCCACAGTGATGGACAAACATGCACAAGTGAAGCTGATGAAAACAATAACAAACCGCTGCCTGATGGTGGTGCAGCATTGCCAACATCAGAGACAGGGCAGAGGAGAAGAGTTGGAATAAAGAAAGAGAAGGAGAAAAAAAAAGAAAAGAAAGTGAAATTCAAATTAGGACTTCTGCTCGACAACACGCTCAAGTCATCACAGACACGTACTACAGTATAACATTTTTAGAATAAACATGGGAGGGAAACTCGTGAAGCTGAAAACACACTCACAGAGGTGACCCGATGGAAGTGTGTTACCAATTTGTTTGGCTTTATCAGTCATCCTTGTAGAGCCTCAGATGACGGAAGCTTCAAATACTTTCAGTGAAATTAAACTCCACTAAATTCACCTCCAAAAAACATTATACTGTAAGAATTAAATGAGTCAACAGAACTATAAAATCCACTATATAGCCTGTTGCTACAAACAAAAACATAGTGTCATTTATTAGTACTGCATGAGCAAACAGCCCAGTCATTCACAAACAGCATTCAGGAAGTCTGTTTCCATACAGCTGCCCCAAACGGGCAGGGTAGGAAAGCATTGTTACACTGAATGTGTTAAAAGAATAAAATAGACAAAGCAAAACTCTCAGTCTGTTCACCGGTGTCAATCGGGAGTGCCGCAGTACACACCTGACTCTCTGCAGTCTCCTTATCCTCCCTCATTTGGTCCAACACTGCATCACCTGGAAAACAGAAATTAGTTTACCTTTGGATGGACGCACTGTCAAGAGATTAAAGGGTTAATGAAGCACATTAAACATAAGCATGTTTGTGCAGATTTGGATTCAAATCAACCTTTATTGCATATTTCCATTGACCCTTTACTCTCAGTATCCTCGACATGCTATATAGACTCTTTGCTGAAGGAATACATTTTATACATTTAATCTGCTGAGCAGTAAATGACTAACACGGCAGAAGAAAGTGGTGCTGCACGCGGTGCATCATTGTGGGAAATTACACATCAAATGCCC